CTTGCTTGAATGTTACATTTCCTGATAAAGTTATCTTTTCTCTTTCTAACAACGCAAACCACACGTCTCTAGCTACTTCCGTTGAGAAGTTATTCGAGTTGCAACTAACTGCATTGTCCTATGAAATAGATAGTAGTAACGTGTAATCTGTTAGAGGGAGAAATTCAAAATCATGTAGGAGGCAAAAATGCTATTTACGGTATTTATTGCGAGTGCGATTCATCATATGTAGGTGAAAGTAAGTGTTTTGATAGGAGAACAAAACAACATTACAACTATGTAGCCAAAACAAAAGTTGAATTATCAGAGATCACTAAATATTCCTGTAAAACAGAAATCAAATTCGATGAAAATGATTTTTTGACAATGAGTCAAACATTTTCAAATGAAAAAGATTAGAAAGTACGTATTCTATTGCCAATAAGTCGTAAAACAGCAAAACAAACGTCAGTCATCAGTGGAGACCAACAATAGATGGTTAAAAAAAGACAGTACGAACAGGTAAAGAAATAGAAAACCGTTCACGTAAAGAAGGAGAGAAAGGAGAAAAAATGCTAGGTACAGTTTAAGACGGCAGATACGAAAAATATATAGACAAAATCCTTGGATACAACGAACTTTCATCGAAACTACCCTTCGTCGAAATTGTTTTCGTCAAAAACTCTTTCATCGAAAAGGAATTTCGTTGAATGTATTGAAAATTTTTTTTGAAAAAGATTTTGTAATTATGAGGGTGAGCGGTAGTGAAAGTAGTTTGAGGGTTCGAACCAAGAATGATTTTCGATACACTTACCTTTCGATGAGATTCCTTTTCGGTGAAATTAATCCGATGAATTAAATTAAACTAAAATTCAGTGAATTAAATCCTTAGATGTATCAACTTCTATCATTGTAAATAGATCATTTTAATGCTGTATAAAATTTTCTAAAAACGGTTCTAATTTCAGATTGTTGATCTATAGATCATTTTCTGTTTTAACTGCTGACAATGATATATTAACATTTCGAAATGTTTAGTTGATAAATTTGATTAAATAAGAAGAAAAACTTCAGAAACTTTTGATTATTATATAGCACCTCTATTTTTCGTTCACCCCATACGTATACTCATCAGAGTTATCTCTTGTTTTTCCACATAGGGACGGATAATATTAGACATGATAAAACTACAATGTTTCGAAAATAGTTTTTTTGCCGTGCTATATATATAAAAGACGGCTGCTTTTGACGTTAAAGTTTAAATAAGTTTGAAAAGGATCAAATATTTCACATCCAATCCATCTGGTTCTGTCAAAATTTGTATATGTTTTTCAAAATTCCATAAGACACTTCGACAGCTTTCTTCATCAGTTTTTTTTCCCGTTAAATATGGATAGTATTCAACAGCCAACAGCAATTGAATATACTAAGAATTTACTTAGTTTAAAAACGAAAAGAAAACCAATATTGTGGATTGTAAGTAATTGTCACACATTTTCTCGTCGAGAAAAGTATGTTGAATTGTTAAAACAACACATCGATGTTGATATTTATGGAAAATGTGGTAAAAAATGTATCGATACAACATGTTCGAATATTAATATGAAACAATATTATTTTTATTTATCATTTGAAAATTCTCGGTGCTCACAATATATGACAGAAAAACTATGGAATATATTGAATGATACAACGCATCGTTTAGTACCGATTGTGATGGGAGCAAAAAAAACGGACTATGACCAAATTGTTCCACAAAAGTCATTTATTCATGTCGATGAATTTAACTCACCTGAACAACTTGCAAAATATTTGAAATATCTAATGACGAACCCAAAAGAATATTTAGCCTATTTAATATGGAGAGAATATTATATAATAAAACCAAATAATGCAGTTGAATGGAGAGAACTTTTATGCCCATTATGTCAGATAGCTTATGAACAAGAAAAACAACAACAACAACGACGACGACAGCGAAATAAAATTAATTTCAAAGAATGGTATAATCCAAGTGTTGATTGTCATAAAAATGATGTTGAAATTTATAGTATGTGTAAAAATACAAGATTAAAGTTATTGATGGATCTTATATATAGAATTAGTTGTCCATAAATGTTTTCTTTTTCTACAGCTTGAACATACTTGTTTTTCTATTATTACTTTCTTTTGATAGATTTTTCGTTTTGAAAACTGAGAATAAACCTGATCTGGTTACACATATGCACACTAGTGACAAAACACACAAATAAGAATAAATTTGCAGAACTGAACAGAATTTATCATACAATAGATCGACGAAAAAAATCGATATTTCCTATAGAGAGCGAAAGTTTAAAGAATTCTAGGCTCAAGAGATAGGGGATTTTCTTTTTTACAAAAGTCTATTTTTATTTTTTATTCGTATATTCCATAATTTGGGAAAATAATACAGATTAAGAACAGATAGAAAGTAAAACGCTTGTTATTTTTTCACTAAAAACTATCAAATAGTCCAATACGATGTAAAATTTATGCTGTGTCTATATTTGCAGCAAATTAATTTGGATTAGACATGGAAATTATAAAATTTAAGTAGAGAGTTTTCTTATAGGCAAGTCGATATTTGTTGCTTAACTACCATCAATGATTTGTTTGTCCTTTCTTCGATTTTAACGGTCGTTTCGTTGTCACTGTCATCTTACACTACAACTCTGAGCCATCGATGATACTTCGTCTTGTTTTCAGTGTTTCACCTTTTAACTTGTTCAGCGTCTAACACCAGTTTGTAACGTCCGATTTTCAAAATTCTTTTTTTATTCGGATGCCTGCGGTCTCTTCTTGCTGCCGAAAAAAATTTTTTGTCGATAGGACTTCACTGGACCGAGATAGCGTACTTTTAAGTGAAAAAAACGCACTTTTTCGATGATTCATTGATATAAAATGATTTTTTTTCAGAAAGAAAGGAATAAAAAGAAAAATGTGAACAACACGTTTTGTACAGCATTCAGTTCTCTATCGACTGATACTATTTACTTTCGCTTCTGTTTAGGTTTTCTTGGTAATTTCTGTCGAAAATAGTTTTACGCACTAAATGTTGAACCAGTAGAAAATTGTCAACCGTAGACCAGCATAAGAGATCTTCAAAAAACTGAGACGGCCAAAAGATAGAGCATCAAAAACTCTACAAAACTACCATAAAATCATTTGGCTAAAGTGAGACTGAGTGGCCGAAAAAAACGAAAAACTGCACTTTTCAGTCACTTTGTAGAACCAGTTTTTGAATTCCAAAACTGAACAGATATAGCACTTCGATGACCTTGACAATTAGCATTTTTAGGGAAAATTTGACATTACACTTTGAAATGTAGAACCAGTTTTATTTTGAGAATAACTCCGGCTAAATCTGTTCAAAACTGAACAAATCATACACCGTTCGACTCGTTGTGATGCGGTGAATCCAAATATGCCGCTTATAAAGCGACCTGAAGCGAACTCACTCCAAGGTCCAAGAACGGTTATTGAGGCCGTTATGTCTGCAAACGGATTCAGTTGAGACCCTACGTAGCAGAGGAATATAGAGCTCATTGAGAGCTATCGATTAATATGTAATATCTGCCTTTTAACGTAAAGGTTAGCTTGATTTTGCCCGCAACCTTCGCCGATTGAAAAAACAAAAGTTCTGAACCGTTTTTCTCTGCCAATATACGTCCGATAGTAGGGAAACTTTACAGGCAGACTCAGGAAATGACGCTGAGCAAGGTGAACGGATTTATCTGAGCTCACTTTCATTTTTTTTCGTCAATTGTACAAAAAAGTTGCAAACGACTCTAATACGGCAAAAGACTTTTTTCAGAAAAAATATAGTTTTGGTGGCACAACGCAAGAAAAAGGTTATTTGTTATCAAATAAAATGCAGAAAATTGCTGATAAACGATTTCGAACATTTGATTCTATGTGACACAGAGGTCTTATTTTTAAACTTCGACAAAAAAGTGTCAATGAACAGATTGTAAGCTGAATAGAGAATTACCTAAAGGGCCGAGATATTAATTCAGTAATAGATGGTTTTGTTTCTGATGTCTTAGGGATAAATTGCGCGGTTTCTCAGTGCTCCATCCTGGGTCCACTGCTTTTTCTTGATTATATCGATGACTTACCTCAGAATCTTGAGTCCTTCTATAAACTTTACGCTGATGATGCCCAGAGACGGCGTGACGTACAAGAAGCAGGAAGGGGGTCCTCCGATTTCGGAGTAAAATCGAAAAATTAATCTGTTAACTTTATTAGCATACACCAGATAGTCCTGATTGTTGATCTCCTTTTCAGAGCAAAAACTTTCGAATTTGGGAGTAAAAGATTCCAAAAAGCAGGGAGGGACATCTTCCTCTTTCCGTTGTCGCGGCGTCCCTGCTGATGCCTCTCTTTTCCACTATGGCTCAATTTATCAATACTCTACAGATATATTAAATAGAGATCTTGAAAAGATAACACAATAGTGTATAACATGACAAATTTATTTATATATTGATAAATATGAGGCTCAACTATTTTCAAAATGAGCAATTACGTCGAATTCTTTTCCTCATTTAATAATCCAACAGCAATCGGTTAAGGAAGTAACGCTCCATAAACATCTCGGACTATTTTTTGCGTCTAATCTCTCTTGGAATTCTAATGTAGACTACGTTTTCGGCAAAGTTAATTCAGTTCATAATTATATGAATGGAATCTCAGTCGTGCTGCGCACAATTGCGTATATAAATCTTTTGCCCAGTCTTTAGTAAACTACGGAAGTGAGATCTACTCGTTAACTACAGAGAGAAATATTTCGAGACTCGAGAGTTGCCAGTATCAAATATGTTTGACTGTGAGTGGTGCTATGAAAGGTATCTCGAAGATAAAATTGCTCAAGGATCAAGACTGATTACCATTTTCTGATTTGTTCCTTGTCAGTAGGATGTACATGTTTTCTAAATATTACTTTGGACTAATTAGAACACCCAGTCAATACATTAAGTTTATCGAACCAAAGAGCATGAAATATTCTTTAAGAAACAACAACAATCAGCTTCTGTATGATTATAGAGACAAACTCAAATACATTTACTATCTAATTCAAAAATAAACAAATAATTCTGTCTATCCCCACTCTTACATATATTTTACTAAACGTTATACGAAAAAAACTTCATGCGTATATCTCCCAAGTAAAATTTCAATGGGCAAAAACTTACTAATAAAAATTACAATGGGCGAATCTCCAAATGAAAGGGGCAATTGCCCATTTGCCTTCCTCCTTGGATACGCCACTGTTAGAGAGCGGACTGATGAGGGAACATATGTAACTTACCAATTGTTTTTTTAATGAAATCTAGTGGAGTAGAGGTAAAAAATAGTGCTGAATCCGAATATCGACATGAGACGGGCCGCTAGGCCTTGCGAGTACCGGATTTCTGGGAAACCAGGTTTCCAGAGCCAGAAACTTTTTGTTCCAAAGCTTTTTTCTGATCTGTCTCGATTGTAGAGCACATCGAGAAACCTATAAAAAACTAGTTTTAGGGTTTTTTAAAGTGTTAGTTTTTAAAGTGCTAGTTTTCAGAATTTTAGAACCCTTCCACAGCCCGCCAGACAGATTTTTCTTCTCTTTTCCGTACGCTGAGATTTTTTGAGGAAGCAAAAATACTTTAAAAAACCCTAAAACTAGTTTTCTATAGGTTTCTCGATGTGCTCTACAATCGAGACAGATCAGAAAAAAGTTTTGGAACAAAACGTTTCTGGCTCTGGAAACCTGGTTTCCCAGAAATCCGGTACTCGCAAGGCCTAGCGGCCCGTCTCATGGCGATATTCGGATTCAGCACTATTTTTTACCTCTACTCCACTAGATTTCATTAAAAAAACGATTGGTCAGTTACATATGTTCCCTCGTGAGCTCCTTTCTCAAAGACCTGACTTTCAAAATAAATGCCGCATGGAAATTAAAAACTACTTGTTACCTCCTGCAAACAAATTACCCTGTCTGTTGAATCGGAGAATTGACGCGCTATTCTGTCGACTAAGAGTCGATTTTTCTGCACTAAACCATCATCTAATGCAGCATAAACTTGTTTCCAAAAATCTTTGTGAAAACTGCTTAGTTTTATCATCCTCCGTTGAAGTAGTTGAGAACACAAAACATTTTTTCCTTAAATGCCCTCATTATAATCATTCACGAAATATATTATTCTCAAAATTCCATAATGTGGGCATCAAACTAGACCTGGATGGGTCTCTTGAAAGGTATTCCGAATAAACAGACATTCCTTTTTTGCTTATGACTGTATATGTGACTTTATCTCGGATACTGAACGTTTTTAAGTGCCTGCCTGAGTTGCTGTTCTTGATACCGAAGCTGATGCATTCCTATTTCATATCTGTATGAATCCATTGGAAGTCGTCTCTCTTTTGCCCAAAGGGTCATCTGATCACTACAATTACTCTACTCTTCAGCGTCTTTCTACAATATTCTTTTCTTTAGTCATATTTATTATGTAACTGATGATCAATCTTTTTCTTTCACCCTCCAATTCTCTTTTTTTATTATTATTTTGTATGTCTGTTATTATCTTCCCTACTCATCCGTTCTTTAAGACTCTTTTGCAAATTGATATAATGTAATAAATTAGATCGCAATTTTGATTTGTATTAAGATTTTCTTCATTTTCAAATAAAGTTTATACCAGCGATTGCAAAATGTTTGAAATTGAAGAAATATGTTTTTGTTTAATAGGTTCATTTTAATCAACCAATTAATGTGTACTAGTTAAAACGTTGTATTAGTGTAAGTTGACTGTTACCTTTGTTCAATAAAGAAATCGAGAAACTAGTAATACTGAAAGCCTTAGTAGAAGTAAAAGGTATAAAAGCTTAATAACAGCAAGAAATCTGGTCGTTTTATTATCATTTTTATATAATAAACCTTTCCACAACGACTTTTCCTACTCCATTCGCTGGCACAGTATAAGTACGATTAGTGCCTTGTTCCCAGGTTATTATATTGTTATTTATAACAAAATATTTAAACTGAATGTTTGTTGAAGCTGGTAGACTAACGGTAAAAAACCATTGTGTACCATTTTGAGATAGAAACATGGGACCTTGAACGACTTTGGGATCACTGGACCAGTTTCCGAGTTCAAATACATTTCCACTAAGATAGACTCGATTGTGGGAATCGTTGTTTACTGGTATATTGTTGTAAATAAACGTCACAGGTATCTGAGGGCCAGAGAGTACCCGTACCGAGTAGCTGTTACTTTTACTACCATTTGAAAGAGTAACTGTTACATCAGTATGACCAGCAGTTATATTTGGCACGGTAACCAAAACACGATTGTTTGACCATGTCTCTATTAAACTCGGTGTATGACCGAAACTGACTGTTCCTTGTCTATTTCCGAATCCACTTCCATCAATCGCAACTCTGTTACCAGAACGAAACTGAACGGGTGCTACACTGCCTATAATTGGAAAGGCAGATTCTTGCTCAATATAGGACCATATAGAAGCTGAGCCAGGCGGTAAATTAATACTTATTTTCCGATTTGAATCCACATCAATCCTATATCCCTTTAGTAATCCGTAAAGTTGATCGTCATAAACTCCTTTAGGTAATTGTGTCTGTAGTTCGGTGAGTTGATGGGTTTTATCAGATTTATTAATAGCAACAAGAACCACCGAAGTGCCGAATGTTCGTTCGTAAACATACATCTCGTGATCCAACGAAATCAGTTGATGTTGACCAAATTGTAGTGCAGGATGCCCTTGCTTCAATGCTGATAGTATTTTGATCAGTCTAAATGCCGTTGTTGTAGTGTCAAAACTTTTCATCATTGGTCGATTCCAAGGATCGGAGCCTCCACTCGTATCGTTGTGTAAATACTGTTCAAGACCGTAGTAGACACATGGTGTTCCGCGTACTGTAAAGAGAAAGGCCAAAGCAAGATGTAGCAGAGATGTTTGATTATTTTCTGTTAGAAAACGTGGCATATCATGGTTGTCGATAAAAGTAACAAGATTGTGCTCATACGCGTAGTCAGTTTCTGTTAGGCGCAGTGCATCTTCAAGCTCTTGAAAAGTGTGATTGAAGATGAATGTGTCTCGAAGACTTCTGTTCAGCAGAAAATCTAATTGAGAAATGCCAGATTCATTCGAAAATCGAATAGCATCTGTATAGAGTGGGTTCTTAAAATCTTGCAAATACCATTCACCGAACATAAACATGGGCATCAGTGAATTTACTTGATCAGCCATGGCAGTTTGCCATCCACGGGTCATGTGCTTAATAGCATCAACTCTTATTCCATCAATGCCATGTTTAATCCACGTCAATAATGACTCTCTCATATAATCATTTACCAGCGCATTCGAGTGATCAAAGTCAGCCAGATCAGCTATATTCAAATATTGACTCTCATATGCATCGTCCCAATCTTCTATACCACCATTATGATGAAACCACCTATGAGTATCATTTACATAATCTGCAACGTAGTCACCGTTATTATATATAGCTCCCATTTCAGCAAATGATGGATCTAATGGATCAGCTGGGCTAGTGTGATTCGGTGCCCAGTCGAGCACAATTTTCATTCCTACGCGATGTGCGGCTGCTACTAATGAATCAAATTCTGCCCAAGTTCCAAAATGTTCTTCAGGTCGTTGAAAGTCTCGAGCCCAATAACCATGATAAGCGCCATTTGGTATACCGACGTAGCTGACCATTACATTTGTATTATCGATTGGTGGCGATATCCAAAGAGCTGTTATGCCCAAGTCTCTCAGATACATTAGCTTTCGTTCAATTCCTGCAAAGTCACCGCCCCAATATAGTTTCCATTCAGTCTTTGTTGGATCGTACAAATGAGGGCTTTCAGAAGGATCATTATTTTGAGTGTTTCCATCGAAAAATCTATCAGTAACAATTTGATAAATTACATCACTTTTATAGCTTTCCCGATAGAAATATGGGCCACCCGATGAGTTGTACACTTTCAGTAAAATTAATATTAGAAGTTTAGTATTCATTTCTACGTCGTTTAGGTGGTCAACCTAGTATGAAAACACAAAAATAAAGTTCTAACCAACCTGTAGTATGGATACAATACAGTTGTATTCAAATACAAAGTTCAGTAAAATACACATATTATTATGTTTCAGTCCTTGTCTGCAATGAATGAATGCTCAAAGAAAATTGAGCTGTTTCATCCGTGCATTATAGTAGTTAGAGCATAGCACTACTTCAACCGCTTACTTAATTGATTTTATTCGAGAAGTAAGGATCCGTGATAACCTTCTGAGGCTATTTTGTACGTTTTTTGTGTATTTCAAAAACAAACCTATAGGTGCTTTTCAAAAGCACTCAATATTTTGATTTAAATGTCATCAACTTTAGAATGTCAATATTAATTTAAGTTAATTTTAACGTGATTAAATATTTAATCCGTATTTTTTTGTTTTCTAGAACAGAATCACCCAGAGTACAGTATATCAGAGTTCAAAATTAGTTATATAATACGGTTTTTTGTAGGTGGAAATATTAGATTTAGATTTTGAGCTGTGTTTCACTTTGTTTCTGTATTCTAACTCAACAGAAGCGTTAACAAGTCTAAGCAAGCCTGTTGAAAATTCGAACTTATTCATGATCAGCTATGAATTTAAACTTATTGTGAAAAACTTTCCATTACTTATTTTTTAAAGCTTAATTTTAAAGAATTTTAAAATCACATTAACGAATAGTTATTGAGGAAGAGGAGCGGAGATTTGAGTTTGAAACAGAAGGATGAAAACGCATGCTAAAAATTCATACAGCTCTAGCATGACCCGCTGTAGATCGTTCTAATCCTCTAATACAAAACTTCTGATAAGTCTTTCTCGTAACCCCAGTAAAAGATCTATAAACCCTCTGACAGGGTCCTATACATATCTTCCTAGAATCCTACTAGGAGTTAGCTTTAGATTTTTGAGATCCTAACAAAATCCTATAGTGCTCTAATAAAATCAGGGGTGTCCGAAAGTCGTCGGATTTGATAGGATCTTATTAAGATCATAAACAAGCCTAAGCGAAATACTAACATCTAAGATCCTACTACGTGCTCCTGAATGTTGGTATTCTATAGGATCATAGTAGGAAATGTATAGGAAGTGCGTAGAATTTTTTTTAGGGAAGTCAATATAAATGATCGTTAAATTTAGGCTAGTAAGACCAGAAGGAACGACGTTCAGAATGGCGATCTCCTCACGGTCACTTATTTTGACCTTTTTAGTAATACCGTAAAGACTTATGCATTCTTTAAGAAACTGTTTTGGTCACATTGTTTTAATTGAATTTATGTCTGATTATAAACCGTTACAAGAATGGGCATTTTCTAACGTTAACTTGAAGTTGTATCCGAATCAAGAAACAAAAGTTACAGTTTGAAAAAAAGATGTTAAAACTAAAGTAAATTTCAACTTTTTATTTTGTTTTAGTTGAATTTTTTCTGTTCTCACATTGATGTATTGATTAGCCATAAATAACAGGAGAAAGAAACACAGTACTCAACGACTAATGAAACCCATATTATTGGTCCCTATGCTTTGTTCATTATCGGAAAATAATAAACTATTTTACATTAGTATGGCACTTCTTCTGAGAGACGTTTGTGGACTGTAACTATATCGATGTCAAAAGCGATTAAACTTGGGTGGATATTAGATAGTATGTTTTGAGATATGATAGAAACGATTGATTCAACATGCATTAATACTCTTTAAGTTTTAGTACCTAAAGCGCTGACGCTGGATATGTTCATGTTATTGTGAACGGGATGTTGATGTACGATTTTCGTTGATTAATAAATTAATGTAGAAATCTCGGATTAGTTGTTTCTCGGTCATATGACGCTGAATGAATAACTATATCTGTTGTAGACTTTGTTATATGTCACTATTTTATCCAGCTGATAAATGAGTACTCCGGCGATCGCAATTTCTTAATATTTCGAAAACGATTTTACTAAAGTACTTCAGAAAAGTAGGATCACCCTTCTTAGTCAAGAGGTATGATAGCTAGTGACTTCTATTTTTTTGTGGTCATATATCTCACTAAATGTTGATCATCCAGTAAGTTTGAGCTTCTATGATTGCATGACTCGGCAGATATAAGCATTCATCTTTTTCTCATAAAAAATGCTTCTAACTCTTGAACCTGAGAGATGAAAAGTTTCCTTTTTTACTAAAATGTGGCCAATTTTAATTCTTTTACGGTTCGAAAAATTCATTGAAAACGAGCACCCACTGCTGAAACATGGATAAGAGGGTGATGACGAGGAACTAAGAGTCGTCCTTTATACCATATGCTCTACGATTGATGTACATCATAACCATGCAAAAATATAATTAAAAAAGCGTATAATAACAAACGACCAGATGAACTATTATCAACAAGGTGTCAAACTTACCCGCACGCACATCCTGTTTTAGCTATTTTTTAGTGGAATCACTATAGCTTTGACTTAAAATGATAACTACACACTTGATATTTTCATCTTTCGTAGCGAATTATTTGTACTTTTAAGTACTCTTTTAGAAGTTAAATATTTCAATTTCAGCAAAAATCTCAAATATCTTTAAAATGGTTTGAGACATTTGGTACTAAGAATGTAATACATTTCAAATGTAGTTGTCACTTTTACTTAGAGTTACAGTAATTGATATAAACTTTATTCTATCAGAATACAAGCGGGAAAAGATTCCATTATAGTATTCTAAACCAAAACTATTGAAAAACACAAAATCAGTTTTGTACGAATAGAAATAATTCTACCGGAAAGGATAGCACTATTTCATAAAGAGATGACAATATCTAAGCATCATTCGTCTAGTCGGTGTTTGTAGACTTTGTAAAAGAAATGAAAAAAATTTTGAAGTCTTCCATCTATTTTTTATGTACAAGTGCTGAATACGAACAACAAGGTGCTTCAATTCTCGATCAATTATAGAAGTAAGACGGATGAATGTCTGGTAGTAATAAATAAGACCGATAAAAATAAATAAAGACGAGTAGTATAAATCGGATTCTTTTGTTAGAGTGAATGTACGGCCTTTTCGTGCGGAGTCTGTTGATTTGTACATAAGTCATATTGTCAGAAATAAGTAACTATTTATAATGTTGGATTTAGTTATCCTAAATAATACTAATTATGTTAATAATAATAAGTAGCCCGTTATGCAATGGTCTGAACGCTTATTATTGAGTGCGCATAAGAACATCGTTCTTGAATCGAGAAATGTCTGTAAATATACGTTTAGTACATTGATAACGAGATATGTTTGAAGTAGAAAATGTAAATATTGAATTTTTTTGTTATCAAAATTAAAAAAGAAAACGGTAGTAATATGAAGTGTGATGTCTTAAAATTCTTTTCATGTTTTTCGTCATATTGATAACATGTGACTATTCATTCTCTAGTTTCTCTTTGATAATCTCAGTTCAATATCTTAGTTTTTCCTAATACGAATGCCAATTTAATATTTATGATGAGTTTCAACGTCAACCATTTCAGTATGATGCATGATGATATAAAGAAACTTTTATATGATTTATACGGGTTAACTGTTTCAGAAATAAAACAATTTGTTAGTTATTACGATAAAAACTTTTTAATACGAACAAGACAACTTGAAGAATCAAAAGAATACTTGTTGAAAATTCATAAATCAAATTCGATAGTACAGTACGAAGCAGAAACAAAATTATTAGAACATTTAAGAGATAAAAATGTTGCAGCACCTATTCCAGTTAAAACACTTGATAGCAAATGGTTTCATGTATTATCCATTTCTGATAGTGAAACATATATAATCAGATTATTTATCTATATTCCAGGTAATATACGACAAAAATGTATATAATAAATGAAAATCGTGAGATTCTTACTCTTTTTCATTTAATAGATAAATTGATTACTTAATAATAGATTTATTTTAAAAATTACTTATAGGTACTATTCTTTTTAATTGTGGTCAATACACACGAAATTTACTGAAATTACTTGGTGATTATGTCGGTAAAATTGATGTCGCCTTGAAAACATTTCATCATTCATTTTATGATGATTATATTCACGATTGGTCATTGTTATCTTTTAAAAATATAACACACGAACAATTACTGACGATTGATAATCTCGAATATCGAAATATTGTTAAAATGATTCAAAAACAATTTCAAACCGATATAGTAGACAAAAAACATTTATTTCAATATGGTCAAATTCATGGTGATATTAATGATCAAAATATTATTATTAATGATACAAACGATATGATAATAGCTATTATTGATTATGGTGATTCTCATCGTAGTTACTATATATTTGAGTTAGCTATTACTATTTTATATGTATTATTATTCGATGAGAATACAATTGAGGATTTATCATATGGTACACATGTTTTGAAAGGTTACACGAAATATATTCAGTTTAATCAAGATGAACTGAAGGTATTACCCATTTGTATTAAAGCAAGATTGTGTCAATCATTAATAAATGGACTTAGAGCATATAAATTAGATCCAACCAATACATATGTGATGACAACACAAAAATTAGGATGGAAATTTTTAATGAAACTAACAATGATGTCAAATGATGAAATAATGGAACAATTTTTACACGAAAGTTCTTTAAATAGTACATCTGATACAAAAACATTAATTTCAACTAAAAATATCTGTTAATAATTATGTTTTAATATTAACATGTGGTTTATCAGACACATTTTTGTTTATATCTATTTGTCTATGATTTTTGTACATTTGTTCTTGAATTTTCATTATAGTTATGTATACTTGTACATAATTTGGTTGCAAACTTTTGTTTCTTCTTTTTTTTTCTATATATTAGTTGAACAATTTTTAGTTGGTCTTTATGCAGTGATTATATCTTTGTTATCTATAATTATCTGAGAGACAAAGCCGAAATTGTCTCTCATTTGATTTAGTAAAAAAAGAAAGAGAAAAGAAAAACATATTTAACGAGATGATCATATACAAAGAAGGATTAGATTAGATATGTATGTATCTCACATTATATGCTATGTGTTTGTTGCTTCTGATATGAAAAGAATGGATTAACTATTGATGTAGTAAGTTATTTATTGTCTAACACTCATTTTACCTTAAGAAAATTTATGTTGAGTTAAAACATTTATTATTTCTTGAATTTGTGAATAAAACTCGAGATATTTTTTTTTTATGTAAAATTCTTATATAGAAATAAAAGTAATGATCTGAATATTGTCAGATGTTGTATGATATCTATTTAATATTTAAAAATTAATTGCGTAGAAAACTAATTTATTGTTTTATTTTATTGGCCAAGTGAATAATATGTTTTCAATTTTTTTTTTTTATTTAAATTGAATTTATTAAAAAATATGACGTATTCAATGGAATAATATTTATACTCTTTTGTAATTTACTCGATGATTGCGATACGATAATAAATTTTTGGATAGTTTTAGGTAATAAATTATGTGATCTCTATATGCATACTTTTTACTTCTGTATATGATATAATGTAATAAAATAGAGGTTACAAAGACAGAACAAACATCTTGAATATTCATGAAAAGAATCGCAAACATTTGGATTATAGAATAAAACTAGCACTTTTGGTCATAAATAATTATACAAGTATTTTAGATGTCCTTTTATTTTTAATTAATTCTTTCAAATCTTGAAAGTTCGAGTAATCATGATTTTTGAAACAGTTATAAAAATAAAAATAAAGTTTGAAGAGACAAGAACATTGGACATATGTCCAAATTCTTTGATAATAAATCATAGTATTCATATTATTTTCTTGTTAGTGACATGAACATTGGCTCGATTCTTTTTTTGTTTTGATTATTTTATTCGATTTATGTTTTCTTTTCTTTTTTTCTCATGGCAAAAGAAAATAGTCGACATGCTACAATAGGAGTAGCCATATAATATAGAACTGGAATCCGTTTCGCTTCTTTTTTTTCGTCTTCATGATCAGGTAAAAGATTCCTTGTCAAAGAAGACGATGTTGACAGCTATAATTTAATTTGTTTATATTTATGAATATTTAAGAAATGAAATTTTTGCCCTTCAGAAAAAGCAATGGTTGATTGTAAGTAATAAAAAACAAAAAAAAATCATAGTAGTTGCATTTATAATGACGTAAAACAATGTAGGTATCGTATGTGAAAAGAAAAAGTATCCTTGTAATTCATTTATTGTACATACACAAATAGTCTATGAATTATGTAGGCAAATATGGCATATTATCAGCGATTCTTTACGTTGTATGATGTCATATCCGAGAAATTCAGTATTATTAAATATTCATGTGTTTTCTTTTTTAAATATTATAGTCAAGATTTTGTGAAAATGATAGCATTTTGTCGAACTGACGATCCCTTGTCAAGCTTGCTTGTATGAAGCCGTATTTGGAAATATTAACTAAGTTACCAATTATGCTTTAACGTTTCACACATTTCGAACTATATTTACTTCTTTATAAGAAAGTGAATTTTTAGCACGGCTCGAAGTCTCCCATAATTTGATAGACAAACACGTGAAAAGAAAATGTATCCCTTGATCGGGAATCGAACTCAAAACTTTCTGGTAACAGACCAGAAGCTCTAATCACTGACCTATCGAAGCACGATCTGTATACGCTCTCACTTCACATGAATGATTTTAACTATCAAAGTCTCGATTATTGACGCAGTATCCCTCGTACAACGACTAGTAGTACTGTCGACTTCATTACAAGAGTATAGAATCTCTCAAGGAGATTTGTTATGTCTGTTATTTAGCCGCCGAGTTAGTATAAACAGACGAATTTTGAAACAGGATTATGATGAAATTAGAAAGTGAATTTTTTCTAAATTAAAACAAAAATTCACTTTCTACTTTTATCAAAGTCCTGTTTCACACAATTCATCTGTTTATATTTCTTTATCCCCTTTTGATTTATAGGACACAAGTTGTACATCAAAACCTATTTATAATTTTATTTTTGAAAACTACGACTAGTTTGAAACTGAAAATATAGTCATGACATCGAGTAAACTAAGAAAATTTTTCATTTTTAGTTAGTCAAGCAAAAAAAAATTTTTTTTGAAGTTAGCTTAATCTAAAGTAAGAGACTTAGAGAACATTTACCTAGCTAACTTTTACAGTTAGTTCCAATCTAGTTGAAGCTTGAATAATCTCTAAGCGTTAAATTAAATAGAAATCGTAGAAGTAGAACTTGTTATTCTCTACGTAATAAAAAAGAAAAAAGAAGAAAAATAAACTTCGATTTTGTGCTACTCCACCAATGTTGATCTTTAATCTTTTCTTTTTTTATACATTTTGTCATTATACTATAGATAGACGAGACTCTCTATACAGGTGTAATAATAAAAAAACGTAGAATTCCTCTCATCTATATCTATACTTTTTTATATATATATATATATATATATCATTGAACAGTTAATTTTCGATTAAAAAAACACAAAACGTAAGAGAATAATAAAACTATACATTGTATCGAACTAATTGGCACGTTACATAAAACCGTTTTGATATTTGTCTATTTTGATTACAAAGTTGTATTCATGATCATCGTCATTATTCTTCTTCTATATTGTATAACAAAAATATGTTTTCTATTTGTCCAAAACGTTTTTAATGATTAATTATATATTAGAATTAATATAGTTACTACTATTTTTCACACGATTGCAACATTTTATTATTATTATATAATATACGTTTTTTTTTCTTCTTCTCTTTATATTGTTAATAGACATGTTCGTGATACGTCTCTAAAGTTCAAGAATAATTTTCTTTTTTCAAGTAACAAAAAAATGTTTTCATTTCTCTTTTTTTTTTTTAGATGACTAGAACTGCGACAAAAATCATTTCTTTTCTTTTGAAATGAAATTTTTTTTTTCTCACAGGGTTTTTTCCGTTATATAGTGTG